GGGGTTAACTTCTAATTTCAAGTGTAGGGCAGGCATTTTGTGGCCTAATGATGTCATACTTACAATCAAATGTTTACCATCTGCAAATTTTCCAGCATTGAGCAGTTGAAAGGGGGTCACTTTTACAGATGGCTACAAAAAAAGATAGCCATGTTTTTTCTGATAATTAGAAAACATTATAGGGTGGTGCCCCCCTTGATCAACAGGTCACTACATGAAACAAAGTTAGCAAAATTGTATTAACACCAAAAAACATTTAAAGTACATTTACATTGGATAAAGAGGGGTAATGCACCCCCCCCACCCCCAAAACCTTTTAGGCTACTGCATTCCTAGAAGTACCAGACAAGGACATTTTCATGATTTATGTGGTGATGGTAGAGTGTGCCTGGCTCTCTGAAATCATGTGCACTATCCCAGGGTTCTCACAACTAAATTTAAAAATTATCTTGCAATAGCTCTGAAATGCATTGGTTTTCCCAAAAATTCCTTCATTCCATTAAATGGCATTGCACTGTAAATGCACACTACTTTGATATTTTACTCTGTCTAATGCCAGACTATTGTTTGTGCTGGATAACTTTCCGTGGTGGTGCAAAAACACATCTATCGATCGATAGATAATTTATCTACCTTATCTTACACATCTATCCGATCGATACAGAATACATCTATCCGATCGATACAGAATAGTACAACTTTCAGATGCTGATTGAAACAACATCTCTTCATTGCAATAATTCCTCATAAAATAATTCCTCTAAAAGGTACGGATAGGTGTTTTTCATGTTGCTACAGAAAGCTATGTGGTACAGTGTTAACATAGCCTTACTCAGTCTAATGCCAGATGATTTAGTGTCTATTGTGAGATCAGTTTTGGAATTTCTGCTCACTGACGAGAGCACACATGCTGTGATTTTAGTCAGTTAATTTATGGTTTTAAGATACAAGTTAAAAGGAGAAACAGTCTTTGTGTGGGCTGATTATTCTTATTCCTTGTAAATACCAGTGACTCCATAAATCGACCAACTAAACTTGTAGCATGGGTGCTTGGCTTAAAATGGATGATATATTGGATATGGATTATCCCTTTCCAATATAAACAGTTATTTGAAATTCCTGAATATGACCCCTACAGAGCTATATTCTTCCCATTTCCTGTCATTGAAAATCTTTTCCTATAATGACATTGTCAACTGTCAAATATGTGACGCAATGATATAAAATGCTCATGAATTAAAATACTAGTTTAATAATTAAAAACGTCAATATTATTTTACTATTTTTAATATATCCAAGGTTTATACAAATAGAGTTTATTTTGACTATGTATGGTAGCTAGCACCGAGGGTTATGGGGAATTTAAATTATATAAAAAAATAGGGGCTACAAAACGCAAACCCATTATGACCTAAAAGTATCCTATAATATTAAAAACACACAAAATTATAGCAAAGCTTTTGAACCCTAAGAAGCTGTCATTCTTAAGAGGCTCAGATCAAATATAATCATTAATCGCTAAACGACGCACAACAGGCAACATGCCGTTTCAAAATGCCGCGTCAAGAATTCGCACCTTCGCAGCAAAATTTTCGATTGTTGCTTGATTCACGTACGACCATCCTTTGATTTTGTGACGGCGTTCACAATTGAGTTTAACACCACAAGAAATATTTCTGCGCCACGGATTGCAGGCCAGGCGTTGCAAGGATTTAAAAATCTTCATTTGCTTTGCGTTGGAAAAGCCATTGTGTATTTAATTTGTGTTGTGCAATATATGCCGGAAGTTGTTCTCTGGGGGAAACTGACCCGGGGGTTGTTTTCTGGGAGAAATTGACCCAGGGTTGTTCTCTCCGGGGCATTTGTGACGCTGTTCGCTGTCAGATAATTTACCATACGCCAGATGATCGGACACGGAATGGATACATACCAAAGGTGGATACATACAAAAGTTACTCTCTCCTCCGCAGAGGGTTCTGTTGGCTATGATTACGATTACTATTGAGATACATTTCACCACACTTTACTTTGCAGATCTTGGAACACGAGCGGAGCCGCTGGGCGAAGGAGCGCCTGCTGGGTTTTGCCTATGATTTTGGCGTATCTGTTGCAATGGTGTTGCCATCAGTCCTGGCCAGTGTGCTTATGAGAGACATTCATGTCCACGAAAATATTTAAAATGGCAGACATTCAGTGGGTAAAAATGGGTAAATAACTCTTAGTCTCTTATAACCGTACTGGCTAAGAACATGGTGACAGCAATTTGATGAATAATAAATTATGGCATGGTAGCGGTTTATACCGTAAGCTTTTTTGGCCAAGTCAACCTTCTGTTTCTCTCTATATTCTGTGACGCAATGATTTGCAATGGTTTGTCAAAATATAAAGGGCTCACACAGGCCCCACAGTATTAAATTGGTTTTAAACATATCTCAATGCACTCATGGTATTCACCCCCCTGAGCATCAACCATTTTGAATATTTTCAGGGGGGTGAACAAGAAGTCGAACTACTGTATGTGTTTCCTTCTTCCTTTGACTTTTGGACGATGTGATTTTACAATGCGAACCCATGGCAACATATAAATATGGCGGACGCCGAGCATGGATTTCACGTCGATGAACTGTCAAAAATTCGCGTCCTTGAACCAGAAGTTTACCAACAAACACAAGAATTAAAAGAAGAATGTAAAGACTTCGTTGATAGTGAGTATAATTTGATAATGAAATGTTTTTAACGCCTGTTTTTATGTGTAATTTAAAACCGGATATTAAAGTTGTGAATAAATTTTGTTCATTTTTGAAAATGTTTACAATGTGTACTATTTGTCCTGTTTCGTACTGTTATGACATTTTCCGCGATGTTTTTTAAAACTATTTCAACTATACATAGTTTGGTAATTTACACTTTTGTATAATTGTAATATATAAAGCTACAAAATTCTCTTCTAAAATAGCAAGAATGAAGAAGGCAAGAATTTAATTTTTGGCCCAAGCTCTGAAA